ATTCCCAGCACTGAAAATAACAACAGAATAAAGGTGGTCCTTATGGCAACTAAGTTTAAGAAAATGTATGGTAGGGAACAAAATTGGAAGAGGCTAAATGTGGATGAAGCTTAGATAATAAAATCAAAACTTTGTTTTAATGCTGTGTGATTTATTGAATAGAAGCATAACCAAAATGGGACATTGCTTGAGGAGGAGTTATTAGTAGCTCACAGAATCTCTGAAGTGAGATCTCTGGAGCCCAGTTCTCTGGCCTGGTCAAAATCATTCTGTCATAAATTATGTGCTGCCACCTGGTGGCAGTTCAGGTGTTACCGTTCCACTGTTGTCCTTTGACATTTCCGTTGAAAGATTTGGCACCCTTGCAAGTGTTGTCTCTCATAGAGCTCGATACAAACAGTTGATAAATACTACTGGTAGCAAACAGTTTAAAAACGCCACCAAGCCAGATGAATTACCTGCCCAGTAAAAGCCAAGAGGAAGCTTGGTGGGAAGGCTTTTTCAAAGCAGGTCTACACATCAGAGCAACGATGGCCTATGTATGGATCTCTGAGTTCAAGGCCAACCTGGATTAAGAGCATGGTCCAGGACAGCCAGGGATACAGAGAAACTCTGTCTCAGAAAAAAAAAAAAGGGCCGGGCGGTGGTGGGGCACGCCTTTAATCCCAGCACTCGGGAGGCAGAGGCAGGAGGATCTCTGTGAGTTCGAGGCCGGGCTGGACTGACAGCCTCCAAAACAATACAGAAAAACCCTGTCTCGTAGGAACCAAAAAAAAAAAAAAAAAAAAAAGTGGGTCTAAACAACAAAACTTTTAAATTTGGAGCTAGAGATGCAGCCCAGTAAGCAGAGTGGCAGTATGCATGAAGCCCAGGTGTGGTGGCACATTCCTAATCACCCCAGCCTTCAGGAGGTGAAGGCTGGATACCAGGAATTCAAGGTCATCCTCAGCTACATATGGAGTCTAGGCCAGCCTGGGACACTTGATACCTGGCCTCAAAATAAATAGATTAAGAGTAAATAGAAAGGGGAGGGAAAGCCGGGCGGTGGTGGGGCACGCCTTTAATCCCAGCACTCGGGAGGCAGAGGCAGGCAGATCTCTGTGAGTTCGAGGCCGGGCTGGTCTACAGAGTGAGTTCCAGGACAGCCTCCAAAACAATACAGAGAAACCCTGTCTCAAAAAACCAAAAAAAAAAAAAAAAAAAAAAAAAAAAAGAAAGGGGAGGGAAAATAACACAGTGGATATGAGCATTTACCATGCAAGCATGAGGAGGAACTTGTAATCCCAGCACTCCCACCACTGGAGATGGAGGCAAAGACTAACACCAGGGTTGTCCTCTGATCCCAATGTGTGCACTAGAGTGTCGATGAACACACTCAGTCATTCCCACAGACATACAAGACAAGTATGATAGGATATGCCCGTAATTCCAACACCTGGAAGGGGAAACAAGGCCATCTTTGACTATATAAAGAGTTTGAAGCCAGCCTAGATAACACAGGATTCTGTCATATACATACACACCAAAATAAATAGATAAAAAATAAATCTAGGTCTGAAGTCAAGAATGAGCTCACTGTATCACTTGTATTCCCCACAATAAGGACTCAGGCAGGACTGAAACAAGCTGTGGCCCAGTCTGAACTACAGAGTTCTGAGCCAGCCTAAACTAGAGTCCCTATTTCAAAAAAATAAATAATAGGTAAAAACAAGGGTGGAGAGATGGCTCAGCAGCTTTTCCAGAGGACCCTGGCTCAATTTTCAGCACCCATATATTAACTCCAAGTAGCATGTTAACTTAAGTTCCAGAGTATACAATGCCCTCATCTGGTCTCTGCAGGCACCAAGTACCAGACAAGCACATTGGTACAGACATACATACAGGCAAAACACCCATTCACATGAAATAAAAATCTAAAAAGAATAGTAAAAACTCTCCTCCTTCTCCCCATTTCTTTCTCCCTCTCCCCCTCCTTCACTTTCTGGCAAAGTCTCATAATACAGTCCTGGCTGATGTAGAGCTTGCTATGTAGATCAGGCTGGCCTTGAACTCAAAGAGATTCACCTGTCTCTGCTTCCCTTCCCAAGAGCTGGAATTAATGATGTGCACCACCATAGCCATCAAGAGACCCTATCTCTGCCCACCACATATACATGCTTGGAGTATAACACACACACACACACACACATACACACACACACACACTCATACACAATGAGGGGAAGACATCCCTGTAGCTATTCAGTGTATAAGGTCTTCTCCCTATAATGTTGGCTACTAGTTGGGACACAGATTTATATACACCTGTCTTACTGCCTCTGCCTTTTATTGTTTGTATTTCAGATAACTCTCCTCTTGCCAGAACTAAGAGTTAGAACCGTTCCATAAGCTAACTATATATCTTAGTGTAGGACAAATGCATACAAAGACTTAGTTGGTGGATAAGTGACATTATCTTCTGTCTACAGTTACCACTGGAAGAGGCTTCACGAGGTCTCTGTGAAATACTGCTGATTCTTAGGAAATCTTGAACTCTCTAGAGCATAAAGTTCAGAAAAGAAAGTAAAGCTACCCTTCGATGCCTAAGAAGATATACCTTACCAGGTGGTGGTGGTACACACCTTTAATCCCAGCACTCGGGAGGCAGAGGCAAGTGGATCTCTGTGAGTTCCAGACCAGCCTGATCTACAGAGTGAGTTCCAGGACAGCCAAGGCTGATACACAAACTCCATCTCAAAAAAAAAAAAAAAAACCCACTAATATACCTTGCCAGGTGGTGGTGGCTCACACCTTTAATTCAGCAACTGGGAGGCAAGAAAATTTTTAAAAATGAAAATAGTAAAATTTAAATCATGGTATTCTTTATTTATTCGTGACAATTATAGCAAAAACTACTTTTTGGCTAGGTGTGGCAGTGCACAACCTTAATTCCAGCACTAGAGAGACCAAGGCAAGAGGATCTCTGCAAATTCAAGGTCAGCCTGGTCTATATAGCAAATTTTACCTCAAAAGAAACAAATAAGGCAGGCAGTTCTCTGTGAGTTCGAGGACAGCCTGGTCTACTGAGCAAGTGCCAGGATAGGCTACAAAGCTACACAGAGAAACCCTGTCTCAAAAAAAACCAAAAAAAGAAAAAAAGAAAGATGATAGGAGGTGCCATTCTGTAAATCTGTCGCTTATTGGTTGATGAATAAAGCACTGTTGGCCAATAGGGAAGCAAGATAGGTGAGACTAGGAATTAAGGAGGATTCTGGGAAAGAGAGGCAGAGTCAGACACAATGTAGCCCACCACAAGAGTAAGAGGTCCAGACCCTTTTCTCGGTAAGAGAAATACTTAGATTAACAATTATGGGTTAGGCCGGGCATTGGTGGCGCACGCCTTTAATCCCAGCACTCGGGAGGCAGAGGCAGGCGGATCTCTGTGAGTTCGAGGCCAGCCTGGTCTACAAGAGCTAGTTCCAGGACAGCCTCCAAAGCCACAGAGAAACCCTGTCTCAAAAACAAACAAACAAACAAACAAACAAACAAAAAAACAATTATGGGTTAAATACTTAAGTCAGAGCTAGCCAGTAAGAAACAAGCAAACGGCCAACATCTTCATAATTAATATAGTGTCTTGTGTGTTCCTGGGGGCTGCAACTGTGGCAGGGCCTAGGCTGCTGGCAAGGAAAAGACTACACTCTACAGAAAGAAACAAGTAATAAAGGTTTGGGGTCAGGGAATTGTTTTGTTTGTTTGCTTTGAAGATGACTCAGTTTCAGGGAAATTGAGATTCCTACTGCAAGCATACAGACTGGTCTGCTAAGGATGAGGAATCTAAAGTAAACCTCAATAAGTAGTATGACAACGTGACTATCTAGATCTAGTGCAACTGAAGTATCATAGTCTCCTCTGCAATCTTAGCAATACTGCCACAGATCAATATCCTAACCCATTCTACTCATCAGAACAGGAGAAATTATTTCTTTCCAAGTTGCCCTGAGCCTGTAGTTAAAGGTGTATCTATAAGGGGATGGAGAGATGGCTCAGTGGTTAACAACTCTGGCAGGCTGGCAGAAGTGGCCCACACCTTTTTTTTTTTTTTTTTTTTTTTTTTTTGGTTTTTCGAGACAGGGTTTCTGCCTCCCGAGTGCTGGGATTAAAGGTGTGCGCCACCAACGCCCGGCGTGGCCCACACCTTTAATCTCAGCACTTAGGAGGCAGAAGCAGGGGAATCTCTGTGAGTTCAAGGTCAGCCTGATTTACAGAGTGATTTCCAGGACAGGCTCCAAAGCTACTAAGAAACCCTGTCTTGAAAACATAAAAATAGGGACTGGAGAGATGGCTCAGAGGTTAAGAGCACTGACTGCTCTTCCAGAGGTCCTGAGTTCAATTCCCGGCAACCACATGGTAGCTCACGACACGACCATCTACAATTCAATCTGGTGCCCTCTGCGGGTATGTGGGCAGAGCACTGTATGTGTAATAAATAAATAAATCTTTAAAAAAAAAAACATAAAAATAAAAAAAGAGTACTGGTGGCTCTTGCAAAGGACCAAGGTTCAATTCCCAGCACCCACATGGTGGCTCACAACCACCTGTAACTCCAGGTCTATGAAATCTATTGCTCTCTTTTGACCTCCACAAGCACCAGGCACACTTGTGGCAAACAGATATATATGCAGATAAAACATTCATACACAGTTAATTAATTAATTAATTTTAAAACAAAGGTGGCCTGGTATTGGTGGCTCACACCTTTAATTCCCGTACTTGGGAGTCAGAGTAGGCAGATCTAGGTGAGTTCAAAGCCAGCCTGGTCTACAGATAGAGTTCCAGGACAGCCAGAGCTACATAGAGAGAGACCCTAATCTATAAAAACCAAAATAAACAAAAAAACAAGGTGTGTCTATAAATGTCAGATTTCAGAGGCAGAGGTCACAAGAAACAGTCAGGTAACAACAAGGCTATGCAGCTGAATAGATCCCATGTGCATGAACATTCATAGAAAACACATCAGGGAGCATTACACCACTTTATTTTAAATGAGTTTGGGGAGCAGGAATGACTGTACAGTGAGATGCCTTATAAGAAGGGCACATACCAGAAAGGGCGAGAAGATTGCCCCGGATGGAAGTCTCATCTCATTCTTCTTACAAGTCCTTACAGGTCACTCTGGAAGACTTTGGGGCCCTGAAGGAACAGATCCTCTTGTCCAAGACTCTGGCCATGGGGCTGAGAGTTGCGGGGTTCCAGGTTAGAAAGAGTATTCTGGAGTTCTAAGAAGAAGCAAAATGAAAAACAAACCATTAGCAAGACTATGATATAAACTAGGTATAAAACTAGACTCTGAGGGCTGGAAAGATGGCTCAGAGGTTAAGAGCAGTCAGTGCTCTTCCAGAGATCCTGAGTTCAATTCCCAACAACCACATGGTAGCTCACAACCATCTGTAATGAGAAATGATGCCCTCTTCTGACCTGCAGGGATACATGCAAACAGAACACTGAATACATAATAAATAAATAAATCTTAAAAAAAAAAAAAACCTAGGCTCTGGACCTCCCTGGAAAATACATACAGGCCTGGTATATATGTGCCCATTCTATGGGGGTTTCTCACTGTCTACCTGTTTCAGTCCCCCAAATGCAATGAAGTGATTCAATGAAGAATATAGCGGCATGTCTGGAATCCTAGCACTCAGGACTTAGGCAGGAAGATGTTGAGCTCAAGAGCAGGCTGGGCTCCATGGCAAGCCTGAGCTACAAAGGAAAGCCTGGCCTTTAAGTAAATATTAAATGATAACTACTTTGGCTTCTCTTTAAATCATATAAATATTTTGCCTTTCACTAAATCAATACTAAATAAAAAAGTAGCGTAACTCTCCCTGATATGTAACATGGATAGATGGACTCACACAGAAAAAGGCAACGCCAAAAGATCAAACAGCTGCATTCAAGCACCATTCAGATCCAACCTCCCCCAAAACTGTCCTTACCCCTATCTAGTTTCTTTAAAAGTTCCCAGCTACGGTCACAGTCTGGAAGACTGACTTCAGAGTTAGATGATGAAACAGACATGGCGAAGATGGTGGCCAGAGGCAGCTTAGATTGTCGAGCATGAACAGAAGTTCTAGAAAGAATAATCAGAGGCATAGAAGGTGACGGATCTAGCACACTCTTTCAGCATAAAACTGTCTTCCTTTCTGAGGTCAGGATTCCAGACTCCTACCCTGCTCCCACCATTATCATTCAGACATATAAAGATATATCCCAATGCTGAATCAAATTATGGGTGCCGCCGGTCGTTGGTGGGGCACGCCTTTAATCCCAGCACTCGGGAGGCAGAGGCAGGCGGATCTCTGTAAGTTCGAGACCAGCCTGGACTACCAAGGGAGTTCCAGGACAGCCTCCAAAGCCACAGAGAAACCCTGTCTCGAAAAAACCAAAAAAAAAAAAAAAAAAAAAAAAAAAAAATGATGGGTGCCTAATATTGGGGCCAGCAGGATGACTCAGCTGATAAACATGCCTTTCATCAAGCCAAACAACCTAAGGCTGATCCTAAGAACCATGTGGTAGGTGAGAATTGATTCCTACTGGTCCTCTGACCTCCACATGCACTTCACAGTACATGCATGCCCACACATATACAGAATAAATAAATAAAATGTAAAAATAATGCAGGTGAGCATAATAGCACACACTTATTATTCTATACTTAGGAAGCAAAGACAGCAGGTTGGTGTGTTTGAGGCCAATCTGGACTACCCAGTGGAACTCATCTCAATAATAATCAATCAATAAACAAACAAATAAACACTGAGTCTGATAATATATTCTTGTAACACCTGCACTTAGGAGGTAGAAGCAGTATGATCAGGAGTTCAAGGACAGCCTAGATTAGAATGTTCAATGCTGTTCTTATGAATAAAACCCCATGCGGCTGGAGAGATGGCTCAGAGGTTAAGAGCACTGGTTGCTCACATGGTGGCTCACAACCATTTGTAGTGAGATCTGGTGCCCTCCTCTGGTCTGCAGGCATACATGCATGCAGAACATTGTGTACATAATAAAGACATCTCTAAAAAAACAAACCCAGATACTCAGACCCACCACCCCAACCAATCCTGGCCAAATTTAGGATAGTTGAACTTTGACCTCTATTATACAAATCCCCTCTTACTGCCAAAGCACACAAAACTTCTGACCTGAGGAGGTCCTCCTTCTGGGCATCAGGGGCCTCTGTCCTGGTAAACTCCAAGGTCTGAACCTTGCTCTTCTGGTCCCTCTGTAGGTGTTCCAACGTCTGCCAGACCATGGTGTAGAGGGAGGACTAAATCTCTCCGTTCCAAGGGAAACTGCCTCCCACAACTCCCCTCCTAGGTGAGTGTCTTCATGCAGGCAAGGACAGTGACTCTTGTTTACAACAGAGACTGGAAAGACCTGCTTTGGAGGGATATGGACTCAGCATGGGGAAGGATGATGGGGATAGAGATGGGAGTGGGAGAAGATATCTAGGCCTTTCTGTAGAGCAGGACAGAAAAGAAATATGTGGAGACTGGTCTAACCCTGTCCTACCTTCCAGCTCCGGGCCTGAACCTGGCGCCCCTCAGCCATCTGTTCCAGCAGCAATTCCTGATGTTGGCCTGAAAATGGGACAGAATAGGAGGGGACAATTCTGCAACTTCACTCCTTCGTCACTGCCTTGTAAGTAGACTGGCAAAGGAAATTTAAATATGTTCTGGTCCCGTGACTGGAAAGATTCCAAGCTCATGGGAGACACTAAATTCACACCATGAGAGACACAGAGCAAAATAAAATATTTTGTAGCTTGGTGGTGAAGCACATGCGTACCAAGTACAAGTCTCTGTATTTTATATCCAGTATCACACACCATACAAATCACACAATATACAAATAATAGTAATAATAACAGCAATAATAATTTGCCTGGCCAGGGGTGGGTTTCTGTGAGTTCAAGGCCAGTCTGGTCCACACAGTGAGTGCTAGAACTGCCAGGGCTATGTAGAGACCCAGTCTCAATAATAGTAATAATAATGATGATGGTAATTTGCCAGACTTTTCAATAGCTCAAACAGGCAGAGGTATGGCCAATTACTGGAAGAAAAGATATTCCAAAAATAGGAACAAGGGAATACTCTCAGTCTTTACTTACTCAGCTGGTCTCGAAGCAACTTCAATTCCTCCCGAAGAATCTCTGACTCTTCCCACAAAAGCTGGTGCCTACAAGAGTGACAGCAGTGTCATTCTAGAATCAAATAACAAACCCAAAGCCGCTAGAGATTACAGCTCAATACTAAGGGTTGTCTACCAAGCATACACAAGGCCCAGGGTGCAATATTCAACATGACAGAAAAACAAAACGAGGAGGCCAAACTTCTGTTATGCCAAGGGTTCCGAAGCCTCAAAAGATGAAGCCTTGTGGCTAGGAAGATGGCTCAGTGGTTATGAGAACTTGTTGTTCTTAAAGAGAGTCTTGATTTCCAGCATCCACATGGGTGGTTCAAAACAATCTTTAACTCCAATTCCAAGGTATTCAACAGGCATACATGTGGTGCTCATACATGCATGCAGGTAAAACATTCATACATATAAAATGTTGTGGCAACTTGCCAGGCAACGGTGGCGCAGGCCTTTAATCCCAGCACTCAGGAGGCAGGGGCAGAGGGATCTCTGTGAGTTTGAGACCAGCATGATCTACAAGAGCTAGTTCCAGGACAGCCTCCAAAGCCACAGAGAGATCCTGTCTTGAAAAACAAAAACAAAATGTAGTGGCATCTTGTTCTGCTAGTCGATTTGTGGTGGGGGCAGCATCTAGGCATGTGGCTTCAGGTGTTCCGTGTGAAGGTGGAATTAAAGGAATACACACATAAAAAATTTTTTTGTCCTTTTTTTTGTTTTCTGAAACAAGGTCTCACTATCCAGCCATTGTTGGTCTACAACTCAATATGTAGAGCAGGCTGGTTTCAAACTCATAGAGACCTGCTAGCCTCTGCCTCCTGAGCCCTAGAATTAAAAGCATGTGACACCAGGAAATAAATCTTAAATAAATAAACAAAAAGATGAAGTCTTGCCCATCACTTACTCAGTCTGCAGCTCTTGGTGAAAGCCACTGGTACTACTGAACTTCCCTGGTCTTGTTCTCATTTGGGTTTGGACTAGCTCTTGAACCTTGTTCCGAAGGCCCTTCAGTTCTTTTCTCAACCTTTCCAGGCGTTGTTCCAAAAGGGCTCTCCCTTTGGGGCCCTCCTGAAGCAGTTTTAATGATGCTGCGGTGGGATAAGTGAAGGTAAACTGCTCAAGAGCTTCACACATGAGCCCAGGCACTGCTGCAAATCAAAACTACACAGCAAAACTGTGGGCACATATATAAAGGTGTGTGGGAGCCGGGCGGTGGTGGCGCACGCCTTTAATCCCAGCACTCGGGAGGCAGAGGCAGGCGGATCTCTGTGAGTTCGAGGCTGGGCTGGACCGATAGCCTCCAAAACAATACAGAGAAACCCTGTCTCGAAAAACCAAAAAAAAAAAAATAATAATAATAATAATAATAAAAAATAAAGGTGTGTGGGGCTGAAGAGATGATCGGCTCAACCACTAAAGCCTCACAGCCAAACGTTGTGTGTAGATCAGCAACAGAGCATAGCTCAGCCTGCACACTCTGGCCTTAATTTTAAAACTCTGTATGCTACACAGGAAGAAAAGAATTGCCCCAATACCTTCTAGCATACTGATCTTGTTCATCTGCTGCTTCCGATCCTTCAACAGGCTCTGCACAGCATGCGTTAGAGCCTCAGTCACCTATCCAAGCGGAGAAAACCCAGAAACTACTTTCTAAGTCGTTTTCCCGACTCCTAATGTTATCCTCTCACATTACCACGCATACAAACACCTAATGCCTCACCTGGGCCTGAGCCTGAAGCTGGGCTCGCAGTTTAGTAACTTCATCCCAGAGAGAACATGAGCTGTGGGATTCAGTGCAGCTCAATCTCTCTCCAAGAATCGGAGTCTTTAAAGCCCAGGGCTGATGAGCCTGGGCCCCTGGCTGAGGAGGCAAGTGATGAGGGGAAATCCAGGTGTCAGCCAGGTTCCCTATTGAAGGAATAAGGGAGGGACAAGAGCAGGGTCTGTCTGTATAGGAAATAAGAGTTCCAGCAGGGAAGTAACTGGAATTTGTACAGAATTGTAGATGATACAGGACAGCACTGGAAGAAAGAAGGCCTTAAAAAGAGAAACGACTGGGAGAAAGGACAATACTTACCTGTAGAGGAAAGTCGAAGAGGATACAAAGTCTGCTACAAAAGAAAACAGTTCCACAAGCCAGTGAGCTCTCAGTGTCCTTTAACCTACGCCCTAGCCTAGCCTCCCGATGGGGGAGGAGGAATTCCGGGAGGTCGGGAGGGAAGGTTCCTGTGCCTCCTCACCTTAATCCGGGCCATATTTTCATCAGTTGAATTGAGAACTTCATGAAGCTGATCAGACCAGCTAGGGCTCCTATTCATCCTGGAGCACTGGGGACTGCGTCCCTGACTTTTCCTGCTCTTGCTCTCCCACACCGAGATACCCGCGGTACAGCCCAGAACAGGCCACAGTGTTGGATGGGAAGAGCAAAGTGGGAATGGGAAAACTAAGGTTACAAATACAGTACACCAAAATTGCGAATCTGTTAATAGGGAATGGAAGTCTTGGGGAAATGGGAAAAGGAAGAATACTATAGAATGCAGATAACAAGTGAGGGTAGAATGAGCTGAATCTTGGTTGAAACCTTTCCACATCAAGGACGCTAGCACAATCTCCACGTCAAGTCTATGTCAGCCATCACTACCGCCTGTGAGTTCAAACTCTGGTAGGCGGAGAATGAGATTTAAGAGCGGGTGCCGCAGCGCCACCCGGGAAACTGAATCCGCTTTTTGCGGAGACAACAGGCAATAAAGGGCGGAAATACGTTTCCCTGGAAGCGCCCACACACGTTCATACACCCCCCCCCCACACACACCCCGTGAAGCTTGTCGGGACACGGAGTCTTACGGCCTCTATTAAGCTTGTGTTCCGGGGAACAAATGAACTACATATACCAGGATGCATCGTGCAGACGCAACTGAATCCGTTACTGGTCCTTTACCTTCTGGGAAATGTAGTCCAGTCCGTCTTGAAGCATACAAGCTCAAGTTAACTATGAGACTCCATTTCCCAGGAAGCTCAGCGTTCAGCGTGCGCTATGGAGCCGCGTGTCGCAGAACTGAAGCTGAAGATTGAGGACAGCTTGTGTCCTTTTGGCTTCGAGGTTTACCCCTTCCAGGTTGGTTTTTTTCCCTAGAACTAGCCCTAGAACTAGCTGTATGATTGGCCTCGGCACCAAAAGTGTGAGGCCCGGTGAGCCCTTCTTATCCAACCCAAGCTCATACCGCGGCCATCTAACGACCCGATCTCTGGGTCGTGGTGTGAAACGGAGCTTTGTTTAAAAGGTAGAGAAACAATCCCCATATTTGCCCTTTTACCTCTTTATGATATCAAACAAATGAATTGAATACAACTCACAATCCCTAACCTCTCATCTCCGTCATTTACAGGAGAAATTTTCCTCTGTTGGTCCGGAATCACCGGACGTTTCTGAAGGAATTAAGAGAGGTCAAAGTTTGGAAGGTTGGCATGGCTATGTATTAGCTCAGATGATGAGAGATGAGTATTCCTGATGTTGAACAAGACACAATTGGCTAGTTTGTTCCGTCAGCCAACAGAAGGCTAATTCATTGTGTTGCTAACCATCAACACCGGACTGAGCATAGAAATTCCTCGCGCTCGCCTGGTACAGAAGTCTCTGTAACCACCGTCCCTCTTCACCCCACCCGATCCCGCCCTATCCCACACTTTACTCCCACAGAACAAGATGTGCTTATGTCACAAACCTCAACCAAAATCATCCTGAGGCCTTTCATCTATTTTAAGAGACTTCCCATTTCCTATCCATTCCATTGAGCTGCCCACAGTAAGACTTAGAATGAGGTACTATAGAAGTAAGTTAAGTCTAGTTTGAAAGTATTTGCCAGAGGGGGTTTTTTAAAAAAATGAAATTAAACTCCTGAAGGATGTAGCTATAGAGCTCTTGACCACCATGATTGAGGACTTAGATTCAGCCTGGTCTACAGAGCGAGTTCCAGGACAGCCTCCAAAACAATACAGAGAAACCCTGTCGGGGGGGGGGAAGCAAAAACAAAGAACTGGTGAAAAGATTGATTGAAACAAGGGATGATTATGTACGTCCTAGAGTAAGAATTTGGAGGCAGTGCTGAATGGCAGGTATCGGGAAGAGGGCCAAGCATGGTGGCAGACCCCAGCAGTCTGGAGGCAGAGGCTTTGATTTGGTTACATAGGGAGTTCCAAGTCAGCCAGGACTATATAATGAGATCGTCTGAAAAGTGTGTGTGGGGGGGTCTGGGTAATGGGAATTAGTGTACTGAACAGAGGTAGCTGTAGCTCTCTGCCTGTCATCATAAGATGCTGCTACTCACCTTCCCAATCCCACATCCAACAGCTACCGAGTCTTCCAAATTCATAGTTTTTTAGCCCAACAACCTATCCTGTATCCAAGAACATTTCTCTCATTAGGATTACTATAATCTTGCTGCCATCTAGGCTCCAATCCATTCTCTACACTGCAACTAGATCTTTCTAAACTATCAGGTCACTTTACTCTTTTAAGATAAATGACTCCTCATTGTCACCAAATTGGAGTCATAGTTTTTATTTAAGGCAAGGCCCAACCTAACACCTACTAATCTCTCAAGCCTTTTCTCCTTAGTACAGACCCTTCATGTCCATCAGACCAGATAGTCTGCTTTTCTCAAATGCTATTAGTACATTTATTTTTCTTATTTTTTCTTACTTGGTTTTTTGAGACAGGATCTCTCTGTGTAGCCTTGGTTGTCCTGGAACTCACCCTCTAGACCTCTGGTCCCCCAACCCCCACCCTTGAGTGCTGAAATTAAAGGTGTGTGCCACCACAGTTCAATGAGCTGAGTGCATTTCGACTGGCAAGGCTACATAGTAAGACCCTGTCTCAAATAAGTAAATAAACAGGAGATTCTCTATCTCCCATATCAACCTTCAGTTTCCTTACCAGCCCCCCAAACTGGATTTCAGTGTTTTTCTTTCTTTTTTTTTATTTTTTGGTTTTTTTCAAGACAGGGTTTCTCTGTATTATTTTGGAGGCTGTCCTGGAACTCCCTCTGTAGACTAGGCTGGCCTTGAACTCACAGAGATCCAACTGTCTGTGCCTCCCAAGTGCTGGGACTAAAGGCGTGTGCCACCAACGCCCGGTTTTCAGTGTTTATCTAATGTCAGAGGATACTTACCTGGTCCTGCCACAGGACTGGTCATAATTGTCACTTTCTATTTATGGTTTGTTTATAAACTCTTTCCAATCCAATCAATTGCAGACAGATTTCCCATACAAGGTCAATATGCATATATTACAGAACATCAGTGAAAGTTCTGTGAATGAATGAAATAGAGATGGGTGCAAAATGTATGAAGCCTTGAACACAAAGCCAAGATTATGGGCCTAGTTCAGGACCAAGCTGCTTGCCAACCAGACCTGAACTTTCTGTGTTCCAGGTGGCATGGTACAATGAACTCCTGCCTCCAGCTTTCCACTTGCCCTTCCCGGGACCTACCCTGGCCTTCCTGGTACTCAGCACACCTGCTATGTTTGATAAAGCTCTCAAACCCTTCTTGAAGAGCTACCACCTCCAACCACTGAGAGACCCAGTGGATCAGTGCGTATCCTACCACCTGAGAAGTGTTGCAGAGGTAAGGCTCAACTTTCCTTCAACTCTCAAACCTACATCTGCTTCCTGTTGATCAAGCTCAGTGTAGGGTCTAGACTTAGGGCTAGGAACCAGGCTTCACCCTTTCCTTTAGCAGACTCCCCATCTGAAATCAGTTTCCTTAGGTGACTACACTGATGGACAGCTATATGAATCTCAGGCTAGTCTTATCACCAGTTGCGATATGAGTAAATCCTGTATCTTATAGGCATTGTTCGCTGTCCTTTGCTCTGGGCTGACTAGCTCTATGATGTCTTTGGAGTGTTTTGAAGACAGAACAGTATTTCCTAGCTCATAAATTTGTACATATAAATTCTAGGGTCTTCCCACCCTAGAATTGTACAACTCAAGGCACAATAACTCCTGATAATGGAGGCTTCTGAGCATAGTCTTTTGCATTTCCCTTCAAGCACAGGCTTTTCCCTTCAAACAGAGTTTTTAATGGAGAATTCCAGCAATAGGGAGGTAGAGGCAGGAGGATTAGGAATTCAAGATCTTTTTGTTGTTTTTCGAGACAGGGTTTCTCAGTGTAGCTTTGGAGAGCCTATCCTGGCACTCACTCTGTAGATCAGGTCGGCCTCGAACTCAGGGATTCACCTACCTATGCCTCCCAAGTGCTGGAATTAAAGTCATGCATGTGCCACCAACGCCAGGCCTGATCATCTTTGGATAGATAGAGAGAGAGAGAGAGAGAGAGAGAGAGAGAGAGAGAGAGAGAGAGAGAGAGAGAGAGAGAGAGAGAGAGAGAGAGAGAGAGAGAGAGAGAGAGGAGAGAGAGAGAGAGAGAGAGAGAGAGAGAGAGAGATTGATAGAGCAAGTTCAAGGTCATTCTGACCCTGTTTCAAAAAGCCAAACCGTGAGCTTATACAACTTAGGCCTTTGTAGAACAAAGTCATGACTCCTATCATGCTAACAGAATTTTCCAGAACTGCAAATGGAAATCATTGCTGACTATGAAGTTCACCCCAACCGGCGCCCTAAGATTCTAGCCCAGACCGCAGCTCATGTGGCAGGTGCTGCTTACTACTACCAACGAAAAGATGTGGATGCTGACCCATGGGGGACCCAGGTTAGTAAATATGTGTGAATGAATGAGTGGGGACTGAGAAAAAAATAGTGAAGGCCCCTCCAACTATCCCTATGAGGTCCCACATTCCTTCACCTACCTTTGATGAAGTTGATATATAACTCAAAACAAAGCATGTATGGTCCTGACAAATAGGCCACCTGCTTTCTGACCCTTTAACCTGCTTTCTGGTTTACCTGAGGACTAACAGTTCAAAACACCTGGTCCCTTTTTAATGTTTTAAAAGTATTAAAAAAGAAAAAAGCCGGGTGTTGGTGGCACACGCCTTTAATCCCAGCACTGGGGAGGCTCATAAATCGGAGGGGGGAAAAAGCTTGCAATAACAGCATTTGGACCTAGTGTCAAAACAACTTCTGAAACCTTGCTTTTCTTTGCCCTCTCCCTAGCACATAGCAGGTGTGTGCATACACCCCCGATTTGGGGGCTGGTTTGCTATCCGAGGGGTCATGTTGCTGCCAGGGATTGAAGTACCAAACTTGCCACCCAGAAAGCCCCCTGATTGTGTCCCTACAAGAGCTGGCCGCATCACTCTGCTTGAAAGCTTCAATTTCCATTGGCGAGACTGGACATACCGGGATGTTGTGACTCCTGAAGAGCGGTACTCAGAAGAACAGAAGGTCTACTTTTCCACTCCACCTGCCCAACGCTTGGCCCTATTAGGCTTATCTCAGCCCTCAGAACACCCTAGCACTACATCTGAGCATCCTAGTTCCATGCTTACCAAGCCTCAGGATTCCAGCAGAGCTCGAAGCTGGCTTAGCCCCAGAGTCTCACCACCTGTATCCCCAGGCCCTTGATACCTTTTCCCTTGTGGGATTCCCACTTATGGTAGATTTATTTTGGGTGGAATTTGGGTTTTAAAAAAGCACTTTGAGCCCAGTGGGGTGGCACAAACCTTTAATCACAGCAATCAGAGACAGAGGCAGGTGGATCTCTGATTTCCAGACCAGCCTGGTCTACAAGAGCTAGTTCCAAGAGAGCCTCCAAAGCTACAGAGAAACCCTGCCTTGACCCTCCCCTCAAAAAAGAAAATGCATTTTGAGCCAGGCGGTGGTGGTGCATGCCTTCAATCCTAGCACTCAGGAGGTCAGCCTGGTCTACAGAGCAAGTGCCAGGACAACCTCCAAAGCAATAGAGAAACCACGTCTCGAAACCCAAAAAAAAAAAAAAAAAAAAAAGCACTTTGCTTTTGTTTTTTCAAGACAGGGTTTCTCTGTAGCTCTGGACCCTGTCCTCCAACAGGCTGGCCGGCCTTGAACTTAGAAAGGTACTGTCTGTCTCTGCCCGAATGCTGGGATCAATGTGCCACCAATGCATGGCCTTGGTGTTTTTTTTGTTTGTTTAAGACAGGGTTTCTCTGTGTACTCCTGGCTGTTCTGGAATTCACTCTGTAAACCAAGCTGTCATCCAACTCAGATCTGTCCACCTCTGCCTCCCAAGTGTTGGAATTGAGATGTGTACCACCACCACCCAGTGAAAAAAGCAGATTGAGTATTTCCTGATAGCTCTTCAAAGAGTGTCAAGACTCAATTTACATTGGTCAAGACAATTAACATGCAAAGGCAGACTCAGAAATCAGCAGCTGCTTCAAATATGAGACTCATACCATTACTGTTTTTGTGTAGAACTTCATGATACTATTTAGAGTCATGGTTCTCAATATTCCTAATGCTGTGACCCTTTAATACAGTTAGTTCCTTCCTCGTGTTGTGGTAACCCCAATCATGAAATTGTTACTGAAATAATTGTTATGCATCATAATGTAAATGTTTTCCGATGGTCTCAGGAAACCCATGAAAGTGCCCTTTAACCCCCCCAAAGGGGTCTTGACCCACAGACTGAAAACCGATGATTTAGTGGATCCCAGGGGTATATACTCTTTAAATGGTACTCACGTAGTGCTATGCCATGTTATTTAAATAAACTTTGACACTGTCTGACCTGTAGTAAGTGGTTATTACTGAAGGCTTAAGAAATTTTACACTTCTCATAAAATACATCTAGTTTGACTCTGGAATGTTGGAAGGTCATGGCATAGGTTTGTCTGCTCTCACCAAAAATCCAGAAGAAATTTTTTGCTGACTTAACAGTGAGGGCCAAAAAGGAGTATCCTCTAATCATAGCCAGAATGCAAGAAGTTGGATATAATCCTATTCAAAGCCATTAACTTTGCCTGTTCTCTCCAAAGTGATAGAACCCCCTGATTTTTCAAGTCTCACTGCCTGGGCCTAAGAAGGTGGCTTAGTTGGTAAAGTGCTTGCCATGTGTAACATAAAATTGTATCGGTAAATTGTCCATGCACTGGTTGCATTCATAAAGTGAAAAGAGGATCAGAGGTTTACCTGTGGGAAACATGAGGTCCTGTCTTTAAAGGGAAAAAAAGCTGCCATCAGAATCAGCTGAAGGTATATACACACATAAAAGTGAGATATTTTTTTACATTTTGGATGGAAGGGCAGACCCAAGCCCTACTACACTGCTGGCCTGTGGCATGTTTGCTGGATTCAAATGTTAGTCCTAGTAAAGTTACTTGGACTGTTTTGCTGGAAGAGTTGCATAGAAACAATTTTTGCTTCTTAGGATAAATGCAAAAGAATAATTAATTAGGCTAGTAATAGGCTCAAGATGGAAACAGAGAATTGGCTCATTGAGGTTGTCCTTTGACCCCAGATACACCCCTCCCCCCAAAAACACTTAATTTAAAAGAATGAAAAAGAAATGGCCAAGCCTATCAGTTCTTTAAGAAGCATGTGCTGAGCCGGGCATTGGTGGCACACGCCTTTAGTCTCAGCACTTGAGAATGGGAAGCAGAGGCAGGTGAATCTCTGAGTTCGAGGCCAGCCTGGTCTACAGAGCAAGTTCTAGGACAGCCTCCAAAACAATACAGAGAAACCCTGTCTCGGAAAGAAAAAAAAAAAAAAAAAAAAGCATGTGCTGGACTTCTTCAGTTTGGAATTAAAGACAGTTAGCTGTGAGCCACATTGTGTATTACAAACAATAAGAACCCAGAGATAGATATTGGGGTTAAAGCTTAAGATCAGAGATGAAAAGCAGCCAGCCATTACAGAGTTCTCATCTCTACCAATGCTCAGACCAAAGGGGCAATGGTGTCCTCTGATTGCATCTCCAAGCTGCACTGTGCTCCTGCCTAATGCTCTCTAGTGCTGGGATTAAAGGCAGAAACTGTTTCTCTTTTAGAATGATTCACTCTCATGTAGCCCTGGGTGGCCTTGAACTCAGATCTGCCTGTTTCCAGAGTCCTGGGATTAAAGGTGTGTGCCACCATCACCTGGCCTGTGACTGTGGCTAGCTTTGCATTCTGATCTCCAGGCAAGCTATATTACATCATAAACAATACATCACCACAACCTGATACAGCTTTTTTAAGACAGTCTCACTGAACTTCATGTTTATTGAAGTTTGCTGGCCAGCAAGCTTCAGCAATCTGCCTGTCTCCCTTAGTCCCCTGCACTTAGATTACAGACACATAGCATGGTACTGGCATTTGGGCATTAGACTCAGACCCACATGCTTGCACTATATTCTGTCCAGAGTTTAATAACTCTGTAGCAACCAAAAGCAAAGACCAAATAAAATATCAATTCAGGTATTTATGAAATCCTTCTTAGCTGAGTGTTCTCCACACAGGTAAACTTTTTTTTCCTGGTTTTTCGAGACAGGGTTTCTCTGTATTGCTTTAGAGGCTGTCCTAGAACTAGCTCTGTGGACCAGGCTGGCCTCGAACTCAGAGATCTGCCTGCCTCTGCCTCCCCAGTACTGGGATATTAAAGGCATGTGCCACCACCGCCCGGATCACACAAGTAAACTTCTGATACCTTGTCTTCACTTCTCTAGTGCTGGGATTACAGGTATGTCCCACCACATCCCATTTATGTGGCAGTAGGGTTAGAAAACAAGGCTTTGCGCATCTAAGGCATACTGATTAGTTTTTGTCAACTTGACAGCAAACTATAGTCACCTTGGAGAGGAAACCCCAACTGAGGAATTGCCATCAGACTGGCCTGTGGGCATTCTGTGGGGCATTTCTTTTTTGTTGTTGGCTAACTGACTTAAGGGGTTCACTGTGCATAATACAGGTAGCTCAGTGCTGGGGTTATGGAGATAGCTCAAGCCATAAAATGTTCTTGTGAAGTTTGGTCCATGGAACTACTACAAAAAAACAAAACAAAACAAAAAAAAAAACAGGCCATTCGCACAAAAGCAGCACTGGAGGAACAGATCCTGAGAGCCTTCAAACCACACCTACATGTCACGTTCCAGGACAGTTAAGAGATCCTGCCTCAAAAGGAAGGAACTGAGGAAAGGGTTCAGTGTTTAAGAGAACTTGTTGCTCTTGCAGTATACCCAAGTTCAATGCATGCAGGGAAAACATACACATAAAACCTTTAAAAAAAAAAAGTAAGCCGGGCGTTGGTGGCGCACGCCTTTAATCCCAGCACTTGGGAGGCAGAGGCAGGCGGATCTCTGTGAGTTCGAGGCCAGCCTGGTCTACAAGAGCTAGTTCCAGGACAGCCTCCAAAGCCACAGAGAAACCCTGTCTCGAAAAACCAAAAATAAATAAATAAATAAATAAATAAATAAATAAATAAAATAAAAAAAAGTAAAAGCACCAGAGCAACACTTTTGGCTTCCATATTGACACACAAACATTAAGCTCCAAATAAAAAGTAAATTCCTCTCTAAAATCTAATATTGCCTTAAAATGAATCACCAAGTTCTCAGAGTTCAAGTTTAATAGATACTAAAAAAAGAACAGGTTGATTTCTATGACAGGAATACCAGACAGTCTACCCACAACACAGCTCAGGCCATTCCCAATAGTGGAAGAAAGGCTAACCAACCACCCCAGTACTGTAGGAAAGGCATGTCTTCAATCACACATTTTGTTTTGTGTTTAAGCACAAAGAGTATAAGAGACTTTCTTCTGGTGCAGCCTGGCAGAAAAATGGTCCCAGTGCTCACTTCTGCTTAGAGAAATATTCTTTGCTCCTTTGGACATCAGGCTTGATGGTATCACTGCCAGGTTTCCAGCCAGCTGGGCACACTGCAAGAGAAAGGGTATCATTAATCATTCACCTGCTCAGTAGTGTGCATCTCCTTCCCCTGCCTCCATGGACCAAAGGGCTGTCTCCTTGTGATGGCACATGCTAGCACTGGCAGGATATGGTGAAGAAATTGGGGCAGGAGAATTATGAGTCGGAAATTACAAATTTTCCATGGCACATGCCTTTACTCCAGCATTCAAGATGCAGAGGAAGGCAGATCTCTGGAAATTTAAAGCTGGCCTAGTCTACATAGGGAATTCCAGGCAAGTGATAACCTGTTTCAAAAAACAAAAAACCCCACAAGATTGCCACACTGAAATCTCACCTGTTAAACCCTGTTATTTTGACACAGGATTTCCTTGGCTGTCCTGGAACTCTCTGTAGACCAGACTGGCCTCAAACTCAGAGATCCACCTGCCTCTGCCTCCTGAGTGTGGGGATTAAAGTCGTGCACCACCGACACCCAGGTTCATTTCCTGGTCTTTGGGGAACCAAAAGCTAAACAAGGCCCTAAACTTGGGAGGGAGGGAGGGAGGGCTGCATAAACAAACCCAGGCCAACACTTTGCCAGTAAGTACTAATGGGTCCAAAAAGGATTCCTGTATAGGAAACAGAAAGAACCAGGTCTCACAGCTTACCTCTAATTCTGATGACCTGAGGTCCACACAAGCCAAAATAGACACAGAATCCACACACACACAATAATAATGGCTGCAGAAAGCTCTGCAGTTCTACTATTTGGGATGCAACAGAATAGTGCAACATACATACTTTACCACTTCTTGTTCCTTTTACTTTAGCAGTGACCCTTACAGACAGTATAGGGCAGGCAATCTCAGAAGCCTAATGTCCACACACACAGATGGTGCTTTAAAATTATCTGGGCTTACTATGCCTGATTATCAGCCCTCTACACTAGCCAAACACCTTCCGAACACCCAGA